ATGGGGGGTAGGGGGGACTGGAGCATTGTGTCGTGTACTGTTAGTCTGGAATGAGTGTGTGTATGTAGAGAGGGCAGCCGCGAGTTGAAGGGGATGTCCATGTTGAGGGTCAGGAGTTTGGGCCAGGTGTGGGTCTCGAGGGCTCTTTCCTCCTCAGAACTGGGTCCTGGGACTCTGCCTGGCCACTTGGGTGTCTCCCATGTTTGGGAGAGATTTGGGCAGGACAGGGTCATTCACAGAAGCCTGTATGAAAGTCCTGCCTCTGTGGCACTGTTCCTCTCTAGCATCAGGAAAGGGTCAGACAAGACAAGTGCATCCCTCCATCTCTCCATAAGGAGCTGTCCTTCCAACACAAGCCCAGTTTGCAATGCCAGAGAAAAGGGTGCTTCCTGCCCCAACTGCTGGCCAGCTCCCCGCAGAAGCAGACAGCAGGCGGCAAGCCTTCCTCCAGGTATCCCCCTGAACTGGGCACAGGCCTCGCTGACAACCTCCTACAAGAGACAGGGCAGAGGAAAGTCTGTCTGGACTTTCCCCTACAGGGCAGAGGATCCCTGCAAGCATAGTGGCCAGTGTTGTAGCTCTCAACCTTTGGCCTCTAGACAGTCATGCCAACCTCTGGGCTTGAAACATCTCACTGCGACATCTCACTGGGCCACAGGCTACACCACTGTGGAGAATGCTGTGACAGCATTGAACTGACCTGCAACCTAGAATAGTGGAGGTGCGTGCGTTTGTGTGTGTGTGTGTGTGTGTGTGTGTGTGTGTGTGTGAATATCTGGCCACAGTGGAGAATTCTCCAACACCACTGAACTGAATTGCAACCTTGAATAGTGGAATAGTGAAGGTGTGTGTGTGTGTGTGTGTGTGTGTGTGTGTGTGTGTGTGTGTAAATATTTGGGCCACAGTGGAGAATTCTGCAACACCATTGAACTGAATTGAAACCTAGAATAGTGGAATAGTGGAGGGTGTGTGTGTGTGTGTGTGTGTGTGTGTGTGTGTGTGTGTGTGTGTGTGTAAATATCTGGCCCTACCCTGGACCAGCTCAACCAGAATTTCCAGGGGAGCAGCCTGGTGTGAGCAGAGGAGCAGCCAGGGCTGAGGACAGCCACCAGGGGGCATCATACATGTTCACCATGTCCTTTTTCAGTAAAAGGTGAGTCAGTTCAAGGCCAGCTGCCCTGGGGGACAGCCTGCACGGGTGGGGTGTCAGCCGACTGTTCCTTTCTCTTACACCTAACAAGCCAGCTGGAGCTATCTCCTGAGACTAAGCCAAGCTAGTTTTAAAAGACACCCTGCAGAGTTTCTGGAACCCAAGGAGGGCGGGGTTTGCTGCAAGACACTATTTGCTTCTGCTGCATCCTAAATCACAGTGTTTAGGTTTAAGGTTGCCCAGGAAGCAGAGAAGGGCTGGGGGGGTTTCATCTCCCCAGGCAAGTGAGTTCAATGAGTCCCCGTGGGGAATCCCGTGGTCTACTCATTCCACTGCAGAGATATGGAGGGAAGAGCTTGGAGACAGGGTCAGAAAGGGCAGCTGATGCCTCTGCACCCCTTGTCCTAAGAATTACAGGAATCCCATGGACACATGAGCTGCCCACAGCAATCACTTCAACGCCGCCATCTTCCTTCTCCAAGAGCAACTGGGCAGCTCTGGCCAACATGGGCCCTTCTCTGCCAAAAGCACCTATTCCCTCTTCAGGTTACACTTCCCAGACGTACACTTCCTATCCCCAAATAGCATCTACCTCAGATTCATTTCAACACAGCTGGGGCAGAACCCCGGGGGGGGCTATAAACATGAAATGGCATGGGTGCAGTCCCTTGCATCCATGAAAACAAAAGTCACCAACACAGCCTGGACCTGGAAGGGCAGGGAGACAGAGAGCTGGGTCAGGCAGTGGCCACAGCACAGTGTGGAAAGGGATCCCAGATCTGTGGGGTCACAGGAGGTACACTATAGGCTGGTCAGTCTTTAGGCCAATCCTGATAGCAGGCCTGAGACCACCAGGGAGGCAAGATCAAAGGTTGCTTCTTTGTCACTTTGGAGCTACACCCGGCCCAGTGCTGGGGTGAGGTGCCTTCCGAGATTGCTCAGGAGCCCAAGAGCGCTAGGGCGGGGTAGAACCCAGAGCATCCAGCGTCAATAAAACTGCCACAGTCTTGTCCTTGAAAGCTCCCTACTGACTTGCTCCCCCAACCCCAGGCATGCCCAGGCTGCTATAGCATACTTGGCACGGAGGCAAATGGTGCCCACAGAGGTGGCCGTCTCCACACCCAGCTTCCCTGCCACAGGGCACCTGCGCCTTCATAGTGATGGCATCATGTCAGGGCCATGACTGTCTTCCCTCTGCGGCCTCTCAGGAGACAGCCATCACTTCCACTTTCTCTGTTTTGTTCCCAGCACCCGTCTCCAGCGGGAGCACCACAGCGGCTCAATAAATATTCACTGAGGAAGAGGTGGCTGGCGGAAGTGATGCAGTTTCCTCTCAATTCCCCAGGACACCTGCCTAGTCCAGGCACCTGGGACTCCTCCCAGAACCCAAGGACTGAGCCTTTCACACTGGCAGTCAGATGCAGACAGGTGATGGGGGAGGGTGCAGGGTGCAGGTAGATGCCCAGTGCCCCGCAGGGCCTAAATCAGAAGGCTACCCCAGCCTGGGGCTTCCCTCCGGAGTGGGCCACAGACTCAACCTGCTGGAAAAAGCAGATGAGTGAGTGTCATGATGAGACCTTCTAGGAGAAAGAAGCTAAAAATCTGAGGGTGGCAACTGGCTGGCCTCCAGCTTCCTTTCGGCCCTGCTATCTCAGGGGTCTGGGGCGGGGAGGGGGGGAGAGAGCCAGCGCCTGGGCCGCCCCCTTCCGCCTCGGCATACCCCGTCCCACAGCTCCCTCCTTTGCACCCGGGCACTGAGGGGGGAGGGGGCGGAGCCCAACCCTCCCCCTGCCCACTCTGGCTGTCAATCTGCTGTCTGGCACAGCGACGTGGAGCTTCATGACAACTGTGGGCAACTTTCCCTGCCCCGCCTCCCGCCCCTGCCTGCCCTCTTCCCCTCTTCCCTGTCAGTGCTGCTCAAACCATGCCCCCCTTCTCTCTTTCTCTCTTTCTTTCTCTTTCTTTCCATCCTTCTTCCCTCCTTTTTTCTCATGTCCTCTCCCTAAACAGCTGTTAAACTTGGGTCACCTCGCAGGGTTTTAATGACACAACAAGCCTTTAAGTGAGACCCAGCACTTCCAAGACTGTGTGTGTGTGTGTGTGTGTGAGTGTGTGAGTACATGAGTGTGTATATGTGTGTGAGTGTGTGTTTGTGTGAGTTTGTGTATATGTGAGCATGTTGTGTGTGTGTGTGTGTGTGTGTGTGTGTGTGTGTGTGTATGGTGGGACTGGGTAGCTGAGAGGTGTCTGGAGTCCCTCTCGAGGCTGGCACCCTCCCCAGGTGCTGTTTACTAGGTCCCTTGTCAGTGATCCCAGAACTAGATTAGGAGCCTGTTTGCCCCTTTCTGGAATCACGAAGCTCCCGGGATCCTTACCTGGGCTGAGCGCTCCGTTCAGGTTCAGTGAAAAGATCAAAGTCCGTAATTAAGTGTTCAGGGCAAGTTAGGTGCTCGCAACTTTGGTGCTAAAAATACGGTATTTAGCATGCAAATTACGCCCTGCCAGCTTGGAGCCTGAGCCGTGGGTGCCAGTTCCTTGTTTGTCATCACCACTGTTATTCCGCGGGCGCTAAGAATGTTCCTCTGGCACAAGCGGGGCTTTCTATTTCATTTCTCAAAAGCCAACTCTGTCATCAGGCCAGTGCCCAAAAGGTCTGGTCTGGGTCTGGCCTGCAGGCAGAGACGAGGGAGTGAGGGCCACCTGTTTCCCCAACCTGGCCCCGAGGAAGGGGTCTCAGGTGAACTGGAGGATGAGGCAGGCCAGGACAGAGCAGTCGTCCAAGGCCCTTCTTTCCAGGGTGGGCAAGGAGGGGCTAAGGACGAGGTTCTCCAGAGGTACAGGAGGAGGGGGGCCTGGTTTACTGAGGTCAGGTCCACCCCATGCCTGGCTGAGTGCCCCACGTCCACTTGGAAGGAGAGGACGGGGAGGAGGGGAGACCCACATGGGCGTGCCCATCTTCTCTGTCCTCCATCCTCTTCCTTCTCCCACAGTCCCGGCACACTGGTGACCCTGGTCAGCGCTGCCCTTTTCTGGTGCAGCGAGGACACTAGGCCTTTGACTTCTCCTGAGCGCAGAGGTCATGGGGGCCCTGCCTTCCGCCTGAGGGGCCTCAGATGTGACTCTTGTCAATGTTTTATTGGTTTGGAACATGTGTGGTGATGTTACAGAGTCTGGGGCCGGGGCCACCCCCAAGCTGCAGTTTCCCCTCCTCCCTCGAGCAGGACCAGGCCAGGCCGAGTGGCAAGAGCAGCCTCTGAGCCAGCGGCTCCTCTAAGGCGCAGGGAAGGGGTCCTGGGAGAGAGAAGAGGCAAAGGCATAGAAAAGGAAAGTGGTTTTGCGGCACGGGGTGGCAGGAGGCAGCCCCCACAGAAGCCCAGACACCCCGCCCCAGCCATGGTCCCAAGTCTGCTTTGCCCGCCTGTCCCCAGGCTGGCTCGGCATCTGCTACAAGAGGGGACGTGCCCAAGTCTGTCAGCCGCAGCAGGGTGGGCTGGGGGGCGGGGGTCCTCACCCCACAGTCTCTTGAGGTGCTCTGAGACCAGGGTGGCTCCCCTTTGGGGCTGTGGAAACTCGCCAGGAGCAGGTTCCGGGGAGCCAGGTCGGGAGTCCACTGCAGTGAAAAGGGGACTCCTGTCAGTGTGGGGGGGGAAGGGGGGGAAGGGGTGGAGATTTTTGGCTTGAACTTCTCTGGGGTCCGTCCTGCTGTCTGGTATTTACAGAATCGCCTGGGACTCATGTATTCAGGGGCGTTGGCGAGGGCTCTGGCTTCTCGGTCTGGGCCTTCTGGGGGGTGAAAGTCTGTTTCTCTGCCACCTTCCCAAAAAGGCCTGTGAAGACCAGGCTCCGCCCCACAGAGAATAGCCTCTAAGGTCTCACTCAGGTCCTGTGACTCCAGGGCCCCAGAGAAAGATCAAGGAAGGCGGCTGCATCTTTGGTGCCAAGGAGAGGGAGCCGAGATGAGTGTGTGTGTGTGTGTGTGTGTGTGTGTGTGTGTGGCAGGGGGTGGGGGTGGGGGGTCTCCACGATCTGCACCCAAGTCGGGGGCCCCAGCTGTCTAGCACTCCCCTGGCAGAGAGACGGCGTAGTGCGCAGTGAGGGGCATGGTGCCAAGCTAACACTGCAGGGCCTGCGAGGGCATAGAATGGGCCTAACACCCAGTGCCCTCCTGCCCCTGGATCCCAGGGCCCGAGGCCCGGCCGGCCCAGGCAGGGACATGAGAAGCAGGCTGCTGGGCAGGCGGGCAGCATGGTCAGCAGTGAAGGATCTTCATGAAGGCCTTGCGGAACTCAATATTAAAGGTGGTGTAGATGATGGGGTTGACGGCGCTGTTGACATAGCCCAGCCACGTGAAGGCGCTGTACAGGACGGGCGGGATGTTGCAGTCACAGTGTATGTTCAGGATGTGGGTGATGAAGAAGGGCAGCCAGCAGATGATGAAGACGCCTGGGGGAGAGGGTGTGGTCAGGCTGGGCCCCAGGGCCAGGGAGGTGCTGGGCTCTCAAGGGCACCCAGTTGCTCTCAGAGGCCCTGGCCCAGACTCTGAGGCTCTGGACTGGAGCAGCACCCTCCTGGAAGAATCGTGGGCTTGGGTTCTCTTCTGCAGGGGCCCTCACCTCCCTCAGCCTATTCCTTGCCTGTCAATGGGTAGAAGTACATCTACCTCCTAGGCAAGGATAAAAGAATGGCAATGGACGCCCATGTTGACATCCTGGCATGATTCAGTTGGTAGAAATGTCATCTTTGAGGACAATGTCCTCCTTGGGAGTGGGGACTCTGTTCACTGCAATAAGAGGGTAAATGAAGAGCAAAGCAACCACCCGGCTCCATCCCCCTCAGAACAGAAATGCCTCCTGAGCTTGCATCTCTCCAGGCCGCCAATGTGCAGGCTCTTGCTTCGTCTTTCCCCAACTCCCCCTACTCCCAGTGGACCCCATCCTCTACGGCGGACTGCACTCTCCCCTAGATCAACCTTCTCCCCACTGTGACTCAGGCAGGCACATTAGCGTGGAAGCTGTATGTGTTCAAGAGGCTCAGAGGCTGACCGGAAGCCACCAGAGAGGGACAGTGGGGCGGGGTCTGCAAAAACAGCGAACACAGCAAGAGCCTCCGTCTCTGAGAGCCTAGCTCCAAGCTGCTGTCACCCTAGGCCACATGACCACCAGCTAACTGCCCATTATCCTGCTGTGACACGTGTTCTGCATTAGCTAAGGAGAGCACTAACAATCCCCCTACCATGGGTTGGCAGCAAGAGGAGGGTGACATATGGCCATGAAAGAGGAAAGCAGAGCCACATCCACTTGTTTCCAGCCACCAAATCCATCTCTTGATCTTTTCATTTTGGGGGGAAGAGGCACTCTCCCAGCAGTTCTCCATGGTCTACCCATGGCTCTTATGGGGGGGGGGGGGGGCAGCTACAAGATTTATACCCCAAAGCACTCCAGGAAGCCATGCAATGCCAAGGCTCAAGCCCAGGGTCTCCCTCAACACAACATGCGCCCTACCACTTGAGTCACATCTCCAATCTCAGCTCTTGACTTCTCCGTGTTCCTTAGCTGAGACCTCTTCCACTGACCCGGCCCCACACAACCATGGCTGAGTCCAACAAACTGATGTTCCATTTCTTCCCGAGAGCACCGACATCCTGCACCACTGAGGCCACTCTGACTTCTCCGTTGTTGTAACACTGTCACCAGCCTGAAGCACGACCATCTCAACAGTCCTGAGCCAAAACCTACCCCAGTGAAGGGGACACTGGCAGGCTCCAGGCTCTAGAGTCAGACCGTGGAGCTGCAAATCCTATGTACCTCGCAGCCGAGGCACAAGAGTTCAACCCTGAGCCCTATCTCTAAAATGCATGGATTTAGAGCATAATGTCAGATAATGTCAGCTCTACAGGGAAGGGAATAGCAGGAAAGGGGACTCATTGACTGTCCTTCAGAATAGGCCCGAACCGGGCAGCCCAGGAGACTCACCTAGCACGATGGCAAGCATCTGAGTGGCTTTCTTCTCCTTCTGCTGGGACAGCTTCCTGCGGCTCAGGCTCTTGAGTGAGGTCCGGGTCTTGCCATTGGGCATCGTCTGGATCTCGAAGAACCTGGCAAACCTGGGGTGGTTTTTGGCATGCCCGTTCTTCTCTGGTTTGGCAGGGCTGTCAGGAGTGCTGTGGAGGCCGTGGTGCGATGGGTCGGGGAGGGTCAGCTGGTGGTGGCTGGGTGGAATGGGACTGTACCGGGTCCTCTCTGGAGGGCTAGTGCTGGACAGCATCTCCATCTCCAGCTCCTGGGCTCGACGGGCAGCGTCCTGCACAGAGGCAGAGCATTCTGGGTGAAAGCCGGGCAAGTTCTCCGGACCAGCTACCTACGTGGCCTCACTCAGCTTTTCCCTGGCCCCACCTGGTGCCTCTTACAAACACCAGAGTCACTCTGTTGGCCTCTGGGACTCAGCAGCGTCCAAAGACTCATCTCTACCTCCCTTCCCTGAGAAAAGCCACTCAATGAGCCCACGAGCCTTCTGTGCGGTGTAGACCCAGATGTTCCTCATATGAACCGAGCCACACTTCCTGAGTACCGGCCATGTGCTGGCTACCCACCCGGCAGCCCCAGAATAATCACAGGTGGGCACTCAGGGTTTGCTCCAGGAGCTCATGTTCTGCCAGAGGATCCCCTGTGTTCTTTCCTCTGAGATATGCCTGCACCAGCACACCCCTAGGGGCTCCCCATTCTGCTGGGATGCTGAACCAAGTATTAAAGGGCCAACACCTGGGGCTGACGAGGGTGGGGGCCCATATGGTTCTGCTCGTGTCCCTGGTGTTCTCTTTCAGGCGCTCGTGTTCCCAAGCGTGTGAGCTCCGCTTGAGGGGCTGAAATGCAGTCTTGCTGTATTCCCCACGTGGTGTCTGCGGGTCCTGCATCCTGAGCCCCTCGATGGGCTCCAGTCTGCAAAGCAGCTCCCAATGGGATGGGCCTCTTCAGGGTTCCCTGAGTAGGACAGATAGCAGGTGCTCCTGTCCCTGAGTGAGTGTGGTGTGTGTGACAATTCTGGACCTCAGGACCACCTTTGCTGGCCAGCCCTCAGAGCCTGCCTGCCACAGGCAGAAGAACACAGGAGCAGGCCCTGAGTCACACAAGGCATGGCTATAGGTACACGTCCCCTCATGGGCAGGTCAGGTGGCAGGGGATTCCCTAATCTCTCTGAGCCTCTGTTTCCTCTTCTGTCAGGTGAAGATCAAGGTCAAAAAGACTTGCCTCTCAGACTCCCTGGGAGGATTTGATGAGATGATAAGGGCATAGTAGGTGTTCCCTGAATGGTAACAGCACTACTGTTTTGCAGTTAGCATGGCCAAGTCCTTTCTCCTACTGGTGTGTGTGTGTGTGTGTGTGTATGTGTGTGTGTGTGTTGCACTTCCTCTCTGGATCTTGTCCCATGCCTGCTATGACGTGTACAGAGTGAAGAAAAGTGGGGGATTCTCGGAGATGCTTATTCCTCTGAGGTCTTTGAGAATCCAGCAGGAAGGTCTCCTGGGGGTGACAGGCTGGCTCAGGGTCCCCAGCCTGAGCACTTACCATTCTCCTCCTGTTCACTGGGAAACTCCCATTAGACTTCATGATAACGGTGCAGAGTTTCATGTCCTCGGGGTGAGTGCAGTTGCCCTGTGGGGTGAGCCAGTACACGGGTCATGACGGGGAGGGGGGGGGGCAGAAACCCAATGCTGAGGACACACCCTGGGCCCAGGGGCTCAGAGAAGGCAGAAACTAAGAGTGTGAGGGCCTGAGGAAGTGATCAGAGGTGTGGAGAGAAGTTACCAGGACAAGGAACAAGGGACTCCAAATGTTAAGGGCACTGCTAAAGCATCAGACCCCATGCTTGGCCGGCATACATCCCTCTCACAGGCATCCTCCAGAGCACCCTAAGAGGTTGGTGCAGTGATTCCTACTCAACAGACAGGAAACGAAGGCTCAGAGAAGTTAACAACTGGCCTGAGATCACTCAGGCAGTGCCCAGCTTTGAATCTAAAGTGTCTCATGACAAATTCTTGTTCCTTTCATATTCACAAACTGCCCTCCTCAGAGACGGCTGAGGGAAGGGAAGATTCAAATGACAGAGCAGTCAATGAAGGAGGGTGGAGGAAGAAAGAGGGGGTATGGGGGGGGGGCAGATGGGTTGTCGGCATCAGGGAGGACAAGGGAGACAGAAGAGTTGGAGCGAGAACAGGAGTCAGCGAGGTTCCTGAGGGCAGCTCTGTTCAGACATTATGTTTTTTTTTCTTGTATGTTTATTTGTTTTTGTTTTGTTTTGTTTTAGGGCCATGTCCAGCAGTATTCAGGTACTCCTAGCTCTGCACAAAGAAGTCACTCCCAGTGGACTTTGGGGGGCCATATGGGATGCCGTGGATTGAACCCAGGCCAGCTTTGCACTAGGCAAGTAACCTCCCTGCTGTACTCTCTCCCTGGTCCCTCTGTTCCGAGACTCAACTTCCATGCCCTCTCGTGGCCTCTACACCACCTACCCCACCCCCGGAGAATTGAATCCTTCCCAGGAGGCCTAAGTCTCTGCCATCTGCTCCCACCCAAGGTCTCGGGCTCCTCCTCCCTTCCTGCAAGAGCACCCCACACCCCCCCCCAGAGCAAGACCCAGAACCCGCTGACGGGAGGGGAGACCCTGCAGGGACGGGGTCGTGGGACCTTGAGCGGAGCCTTCAGGTTGGCCCTGAAAGCGCGGCTGCTGCGCTTGGTGTTGACCCGCTTGCGGCGCTTCCGGAGGACCATGTAGATCTTGATGTAGACAAGTAGCGTGACGATGAAGGGCACGTAGAAGGAGACGATGGAGGAGTAGACCACGAAGGCGGGGTTGGCGATGATGCACTCATTCTGGTCTGGGGAAAGGAGCCCCCCCGAGGCTGGGTCAGCAGGCCCTGAGAGCTCTACCCTGAGACCTTTCCCTCCTGCCTGAGAAGCGAGTTTACAGAGAATAGGAACAGACGTTGGTGTGTGCCTGGGCACATGAGACTCTGACACATGTGCTGTATCAACCAGGATTTAAAACCCAACTGGGACCAAACCCACGGGCAATGCTGTCTTCCAAGTCTTCCTGTTAATATTCCAACCTTATTTCTACCCCGGCTTTGTCATCTGTGAGCACGGGAATAAAGCCAAAGGATTTGCCAAAACAGACCTAACATTCCTCTCAAACGATGATTTTAGCCCTGTCTGAATGTTTTGGGGAAGGTCTGTCACCTTTGATGGTTGGAACAAAGTATCTTGGTCCTATCTGCTACCTCACCTGTGTTCTAAAGAGTTCCCAGTACCTTACAGACCTGCAAGCGTGGGGCCTCGGCAGACTAGGAAGAGCCCTTAGCCTGCTTCTCAGAATCCCCACGGGAGAGAGCCTGGAGAGTTAGCCTGAGTTCCAAGTGCTTTCAGGACTTCTCTGGGTCCTGTCTTCCCAGTCTCCTAGGGTGCAGCTGCAGGATGATGCACCTTGAGGACCCTTAAAGCCACGTGCTTAGATCCTGTCTTAGCTGCCTCTGCCTCCCTCTCAGAGAACCAACACAGGGGCTGCCTCCTGTTCATTCTAGCTTTCCTGCTCCGGGAGGCTCTGCAGCCTCAGTCATTACCCAAGTACTAAGGAACCCCAGGAACCTCTCCCATGTACAGCTGTGCAATGTTGGGGGCAAGGAGAGGTCTTTGACCTGCTATAACTCATTAAGTCGAGGTGAAAAGGGCATAACACACTCTTGAGCCCCTTTGCAGCGCCTGTCTCATCCTAGTACACTGGGACTCAGGCCTCTCTCTCTCCTCTCTCTCTGCCTCTCTGTCTCTGTCTTCTCTCTGTCTCTCTGCCTGTCTGCCTGTCTCTCTCTCTCTCTCTCTCTCTCTCTCTCTCTCTCTCTCTCTCTCACACACACACACACACACACACACACACACACACACATACACACACATAGAGGCCTGCCTGGCTGGAGTGCAGGATGGCAAATGAGCCTCTTGGCCTCCCTGCAGCTCTGGACTGGAGTTGAGAGACCCCAGGCAGCACACCAGAAGCAGAAACTCAGCCAAGCTGGGCTTCAGACATGTCAGGAGCTGGACTCACCTGTGTTGTTGAGCCCGAAGAGCAGTGGGCAGGAGATGGTGAAAGACAGGACCCAGACGATGGCGATCATGACAGTGACTCTGCGCTTGGAGCTATAGCGTGTGTTGTAGAGCATGGGCATGGCCACAGCTGTGTACCTGTGAGGGGGTGGGTCCAGGGTCCATGAGCAGCCTCCCCGCCACACACCCACACACACACCACAGACAGCCCTGGCCTGGGTTGGCCTATCAGCTTCCAGCATGCTGCCACTCTCCCCTAAACCCTAACTCCCTTAATATAGGTTGGGACCCCAGGGGGCCTTGCAGAATGGAATGATGGAGAAGCAAGACATCTTTAAAAAAATGTTTTAAAGATGAGTTGTTTTCAGAGCACCAGTTCTGTATGATTTATCATTAACAAACATTTGGTTTATTTTCTTTTGGTGGGGCTGCACTGGCTGTCCTCAGGACTTACTCCTCGCTCCATGCCTGGGGCTCACTCCTTGGAGTGCTCTGGAGACCATTTGGGGTGCCAGGCAAGCACCTTGCCTGTTGCACTATCTCTCTGGCCCCTGATTTGTCTACCCTTTCTGCAACCTTATATATCTGAGGTCACATAAAAATGTCTCAGGCAAAAAGGGGTCATGAGTGGAAGAAGCTCTAACAACCTTGCTCTCAATCCCCCTCCCACCATCCGTCTCTGAGTCACACACTGAGGACACTGGTCATTCCCAGTCAAATCTCATTAGCAGTGACCCCATCTATGAGTCCGATCTCCCCGATAGCATCTAAAAGGTTTTGACTGTTACTGGCAACAGAGACAAAGCCAGGTTCTCCCACCTGCACAGTACATGATCTGAAACATATCCCATTTTAGGGGTTTGGAGAACTTAGCCTGGCACCCCTGCTGTGCCCACAGGAGGTGAGGGGGTGTTGATGGTGGTAACCAGACCCCTTGGAGCAAACTGAAGGCCCATTTTCAGCAGAAAAATTTTTAAATGGCCATGTTGATGATGCTTATATTCCTCAACACAGTGCCTCTCACACCTGGCTTTATTCCATATTCCAGGAATTCTGCAAGGGGCCCAAAAAAAAAAAATCCAACTCAGTGACTTAAAGTGTCTAGGGCAAGAAGCTTAGAATATCATCCATGACTGAGCACAGGAAGTCTGGTTTGAGCCCTAGCACCACCGGGACCAACCCCTGAGCACAGAGCCAGGAGTAGCTTCCAAGCAGCACTGAGTATAACCGCAAAAAAACAAAAGTGTGTTGGGCCATAGAGACAGGAAAGCAGGGAAGTCACATGCTTAGCATGAAGCCAACTCAAGCCCAACACCCCCCCAACCCCCCACCACATATGGCCCCCAGATCCCATATGTGAGCCCACCAGGTGTGATACAAGAGCACCACCATGTGTGGCTGTAGCACTGTCCTCCAGTTGTTCATCGATTTGCTTGAGCAGGCCCAGTAACATCTCCATTGTGGGACTTGTTGTTACTGTGTTTGGCATATCGAATACATCACGGGTAGCTTGCCAGGCTTTGCCGTGCTGGAGAGATACTCTGAGTACCTTGCTGGGCTCTCTGAGAGGGGCAGAGGAATCGAACCCGGCTCCGCCAGGTTAGCCGCGTGCAAGGAAAACGGCCTACCACTGTGTTATCGTTCCGAGCGTTTGACCATGTGTGGCTAAGTAAATCAAACCAAAATGCGTCTTGGGAAAACATGAAGATGGGAGCTTAATCCGCAGGGCAGCTGCATAAGCTGAAGTGACTCTGGCTACTCCCCTGACTTGGGATCCTCAGCCAAAAGACAAAAATGAATCCTGTGAGGGAAGTAGAACCAGGACCTCTGGGGACCTGGGTGGTACATGGTGCTGGCTCACGGTGCAGAGGAGAGAAAAGCTCTAGGACACAGATTAGCAACTGGAGCAGTTGGCATCACCCTGGCTTTGTGCCCTGAGCTAGCCATCAACACAATTATTCCAACCAGCTAACAGGCCAATGCCAGGTGGTCAGGGTCCTCATAACTGAACAATGAAACAAGGCTCCAGATGCTCATGATCTGCTCAAGGTCACAGAAATCAGAAGAGATGGCACAAGGGCTTCTGTCAGGGCCAAGAACTTTCTCCTCAGCCCCGGGCTGCTGGGATTCTTGGGCACAGGGAGTCTCTCTGGGGACCCAGGGCTCTGTACCCCCTCAGTCTGTGCACAGACATGCAGACAGACACGTATGCACACATGTAAGGAATGAGAGGCGTGCCCCCCAGAAGGAAGTTTCATAGCAGGCCTCACCCGAAAGGCCAGGAAGCCTAGAAGGTGATGAGCCTGGCTGGTCCCTTCACGATGCCCAGGGGCCTTACCTGTCTATGCTGATGGCACACAGGTTCAGGATGCTCGCTGTGCACATCATGACATCCAGGGTGATGAAGATGTCACAGTGAATCTTGCTAAATTTCCACTCACCTACCACCTAGGAGCAAAGAAAAGTGCTGGGTAGAAGCAGAGGCGGAGATCAGCTTAACCCGCACAGCTCAACCCTGGGCAGAAGATCAGGCCTTGGGGTCCATGGGAAGTTGTAGGGTTCGGTGGGGCACTGGCCGTGGTCTTCAGAGAAGAGGAGACAGTGACAGGAACTGAGTTGGGGCCCTGGACATAGGGGTCATTGTCCAGCTCTCAGAGAGAATGAATGTTGTGCCCTGAGATACCATCTCCTGAGTGGCCAGAACAGTGACCTCTCCTTTGAAAGGCCGGCAAACACATGCCTGAAGTGCTATTCCAAGGACTATTCGGGGCACCCCACCAGCCCCCTGTCCATCTGTGGCCCGTCCTAGTATCTGTGTAGTGATGGTGGGTCTGAAAGGCCCAGATCCAGGCCTGGCCCCTTGCGCAGTGCAGTCCTCACTCTGGGCAGAGGGGACCTCTTTCAGGGCACGGGGAGATTGTGTTTTTGTGGGAACCATCAAATATCTACCATTCTCTTCATAACTACGGTCACAGCTAACATGGGGCCAGCCTACTAATAACTAGAGAGGCCATACTAGGACTTTCTTGGATACTAACTTGTGATTATTAAGAATAAATAAATAAATGAAATGCAGTGATGTGTGATGTTGGTACTATTACTGTCTGTGCAGTATGTATGAGGAAACTGTAGCAGAGACTGTTTACCCCCAACAACCCTCCTTTGACCTTGACGGTCTGAGTTCTGGGACCCTTCTTTGAAAGAGCACAGATGGGGCACAGGCCTTGAGAAGCTGTTCAGGGAGTGACCTTCAAACCCCATCCTGAGCAGGAGGGATGGATGGAGTTCTATGCCTGCATTGGAGATCAAGCCTACTGGACTCTGGTCCCTGGGCACAAATGCCTGCATGTGGTTTGGGATCCGTGGTGGTTTTGTTGTTGTTGTTTTTTCTGAGCAGTCAGGGCATCTTGAAAATCTCTGCCTGTGCTAAAAGAAGCGAAGGAGTGGCCTGGAGCTTCCCTTGAGCCAGTGTGGAGGCAATAACAGGAATCAGGGTCGGGGCCTGGGGTAGAAAGATGAAAGGGTGCTCCTTGTGGCCAGTCTTCTCTCCCACAAGTCTGTTCACCTACATTTCCAGTTTTCTTTTAAAAGTGGATGGATACTCCTCCAAGACCTGGGACCCTAGCAGGGACTGACATCTCTATTTCAGAGTCAGGCAACATCAGGGTCTAACCAACAGATAATTAACTACACACTCCTTTCTGAGGAAAGGAGATGTGTGGTTCCTGGGGACCTTGATCTGGAGGTTCCAGACACAGCACTAGAACCAACTGGGAGCAGGCAAGGAGGAGGGGAAGAAGGAGGAGGAGGAGCAGAAGGAAGAGGAGGAAGAGAAGGAAGAGGTGCAAGAGAAAAACATGTTGCTGCAATCCCCTCTCCCCCCTTTTTTGGCTTTTTGAGTCATACCCGGGGGACCACATGGGATGCCAGGAATTGAAACTGCTGTGTCCAGGACAAATGCCCAAGCTCCTATACTATTGCTCCAGGCCCCTATTAATCTCCATTTCTAAGTATATTTTGGACCTCAAAAGAGCAACATCTCCTTTCTTGAGGATCTTCATCAATTATTCTCATTTTTGGAGGTGACCTCATAGAACTACAAGAGTACTGTGAAGTGCAGGTGAAGTCACCTAACCTTCCTGACTATTTGGTTCTTGATGAAGAGTGGCAATACTAATGTCGGCGTCTTGAGGAGTATTTGAGAAAAATGCTGACAGAAAGATGCCTGACTCCTTATAAGGTCTCTGTAACCACAGCTGGATGGCCAAGGAGACAACCCACTCTTTGATTACGGAGATAAAGGTAAGCCCAGAGTAGAGGAAGTAAGTGGTCACCTGAAAATCCCACCCAAAGTGTTGGTAAGACACTCCTCCAGGAGAGGGTGCTAGAGCAGCAGGGACCCCATACCTACCTCCATGTAGACAACCCAGGGCATGACAAGTGTGGCAACAAGGAGGTCAGCCACAGCGAGGCTGACGATCAGGTAGTTGGTGGTGGTCTGCAGCGCCTTCTCACGGGACACAGCCATGCACACCAGCACATTGCCGAAGACGATGATAAAGATGAGGAGGGTGAGTAGCATGGCATAATAGTTGTAGTGAAGCCGGTCGCCCCTGCCTTCGGACCCATTGAAGGGCCGGCTCCAGTTCTGGCTCTCCAGGTCATCCTCGTACCAGGTCAGGTTCAGTGGATCCATTGGGGCAGCGGGGCCACTGGGTGACCAGGCTCTGGCCAGGGAAGATGACACAAGAGTAAACAGAAGGGCCCTGAGAGCGAAGCTTTCCAATCAGACCAATCATTTGGGTAGGAAGGGGGCTGTGTCCTGCCTTGGGATTTTAAGTTTCATAGTCAAAGATTTTCTGAAAAGAGTGCTTGCTCTAAGTAGGTTCTTGCAGATGGTGAAACAAATAAGAAGGCATAATTCCTTATAATAAAATGAACAAACTTCATTTTATTATAATGAAGACCCTGGTCTTTCATTCATTTATTCAATAAACACTAGTCAAGCACTTCCCATGTAATTGTACAGGTTACTGACAAGATTCCACCTCCTAGTGGTGGGAGCTGGAACATGCCTTTGTGCATTTTCGACACTGCAAATATTTACTGAGCATGTTCTACAGAGTGCTAAAAATGTGGAACAAAATAAACATGGCACTGGAGCTCACACGCTAATAGAAACAATAGTCAAACAATTAAGCGATGAAATCAGAAAGTGGTACACACCCAAAAACAAAAGAAAGAAAGAAAGGCAAGTCACGTGATTTGGAATTTTGGAATTTAAAGAAGATTTCCCAGAGGAAATGCTATTCAACAGACACTAGAGGATAGAGAATAGGTAGGAATTAGACAGGTAATAAGAAGGTGGGAGCCAGGGAGGAATGCGATAGACCTACAGAAGGACAGAATTAGAATGTGCATGCCATTGAGGAGGGCTCTACAGAGACCCGAGTAGCTAGAACACAGGAGATAGCATGAGTTAAATTGGAGAGGACGAAACAAGTGAAAGCGTTGGAGAGGATAAGGGTCAGTGATTTTCAACAACCACTCCACACAAACCAGCACCAGTCTGTAGATATAAAAGGCTGAAGACCACTGGCAGATTCATTCTAGAAATTTAGACAGGAACCAGGGCAAGGGAACGAGCTGATCATATTTGCCTCTCTGGGTAGATTTGTCCCACTACTAAAAGAGACAGGACTCTCTCTCAAGGTCAAACCTTTTGTGGGGCAGTCCACAAACCATGTGTAGAGAATGAAGGGCAATGCCAAACTGGGTAGCAAGACACCAGCTGAGTGGCTGTAGGAACCCAAGTAAAGAAATGGTGAGATTCTACATTTGTGCCTGAGAGCCCCAAGGTAAAGGATCTCGGTCCAGGGGTAAGGTCCTTCCTACAGGAGGCAACATGGAGAAGGAAATAGGAGGCGTTTGCCACACACCTGAGTAAGAGAGAGTTCCAGCAAGCAAAAACATAATTACATCCTTCATAGCAATAAATGTTTGGGAGGAAACGTAGGGCATGGGGTTCATGGCTAGACAGATCTGGTCTTGTAAACTTGGGAATCCCTAAAATTCTGGATGCAGAGCTGCTGTGATGTAGAAGAAATCTGAGAGGGGGGAGTGATAAGCAATGATGGTTTCTGGAAGGCTGCAGGAATGAGAATTGGCTGGAGGGGGGTTCAGAATTGGGGTTAAGTAAAAAGTCAATTTTGAAGGCCACAGTGTAGCACAGTGGGTAGGGCATTTGCCTTGTACATGGCCAACCCAGGTTCAATCCCCAGCATCCCATGTAGTCCCCAGAGCACCACTAGAAATAATTCCTGAGTATAAAGCCAGGAGTAACCCCTGAGCATCTCTAGGTGTGACCTCAAAAGCCAAAATAGATAAATATGTTTTAAAAGTCAGTTTCATGAAAGTTGGTTACTGACTAGATTGGAGGGGTATTGACTAGATTCAGCAGGGTAAGGAGTGGAAGACGACAATTTCTGCCTGGGGCAAGCCAAGGAAGCAGAGAGGCCCAGAGGCAGGCTAAAGAGGCATAGGGCAGGCATGGAGGACTGACAGCCTGCGATTTGACTGTGATTGAAACATAATACACTTATAATACAGCTTTCCTGCTAACAAAAGTGCTCCTGTTCCACAGCATGGAATTAAATTCACCAGAATTTCAAGCATTGTGCACAAAGCACCAGGTGTTTTGCTACCCAAAAGGAATTGAAGCTGCCAATTTCTGCCATGGAAAATGAACATGGTGCCATGCCCAAGGCGGGGACACTCTAAGATATGTTGGAGGGAACCCCAATCTGCCCACCTTGGGAGCCTGTATGAGAGCCATGCTTTGCAATTTCAGCTTGGAACTGCCACGCTTGAGTTTCCAAGGAAAGCAAGTCCCCTCGCTGCACATGAGAAGATGTGAATGGCGTCCTTATGACAAGTCTTCCACACTAATGGACTAGAGCACCGAGACTCACTGACGCTATTATCTGCAGAGCTGACTCATCCATCCCTTTTGCATTGGGAGCACACAGCAGGACACCTGTGTCTGGAACGCATTTATTGAAGTAGAATCTATGGGATCTTCTAGGCACTGTGCCCAGTCTGGGTGATGATGGTGGTGGCAGGATGGGGGGGGGGGGGGGGGAGGTCCATGAGTCACAGCTTCTCCAGGATTCTCATCATTCCTCTCCCCTCCTCCCACATCGTTAGTTCCTCTTCGACCAGAGCCAGTAGCTACTGATGGGCACCCTCAGCTCCCAGTACCCCTCTCCCACACTTCTCTTCCTGTGGCCCAATCTGGGCCTACCTCTGACAATGGCTTCTTATCCTTATAAAGGACTGGATGTTTTCCTACATTTCTTTCACTTGTTGATAGACCCTTTCGCTTATCCTCATAATCTTTTGAGACTTGTTCTTTTTCACCACAATGTATAAGTGAGAGAAGATTTGGGGTAACTTCTATTGCTTTCCTCAGTGCTGCCCAATATCTGCAAAGCAAAATCTGCTCTGAATCCTCTGAATCCTTGGGCCCAGGAAGTCATCCTAAGTCCTCCTGTCTGGCTCCCTCCATCCCTGCTCTGACTCCCACACAACCTTTCACAGTTCTGTTCCAGGACATTCTCCATTTGTGTGTGAGTGTGTGTGTGTGTGTGTGTGTGTGTGTGTTTGTGTGTGTGTTTCCCTGGGGCTCAAGCATCTTAAATGTTACACTGTGCACAGTTCACACTTCATCTTCTTGGAGGAAGAACCAAATAAAACATTACTTGATCTTCATTTCCCACTCCTAGTTCTGTGACTTGCAGCAGAACGTGTTGAACAGATGTTTGCTAAACTGAATCAAAGGTCCTGAGTCCAGTTGGGAAGGAAACTGCTCCACAATGGAAATGTTACTATAGATGCAACACCGCAAGAGGGTGGATCCACCTGTTAACCGTCCATTGTCACCATTTCCTAGTCTGCATGACCAAGTGCTGTAGTCCTCCAGAGGATCTGGGTAGCATTCCAGAACACCCACTTCAGAATGGTACTTCAGTGGATGTTCAGAAATTAGAGGGGACATTCAGAAATTATGGGACATGGTCATGACTGGACTATTCACCAAAGGCTGCCTGGAAGAAGAACTTAAACTAGGACTGCAAAATTGTGGTTCATCAGATTGCTAGTCAGAGCAGGTTGGGGGTAATTCTGCATGGAGTTGGCTACTCAAAAGGGTAAATGTGAGTCTGTTTCCCAAGGGGAAAAAGTGCTCAGACATCAAATTCATAAGCACTCGCTCTCTGGTATCTGGTGGCTGACACAGTGTAATATATTATAGAAAGAAAGGGGAAACACAGACAATGTTTAATGCCTGCAGACCCTTTTAATATCCTCCAATCCCTGGGGTGATCTCCAGTTCCCACCATCATCTCAACATTCTCCCTATCTCTCTCAAACAGGGGCTGTTTGGCTGGCTCTTGGGGAAACAGTCCTGCCCAATATCTGCAAAGAAAGATCTGCTCTGAGCAGGAATTTAACTTCAGCCAGTCCTCCGTGGAGGAGATATTCCAGGAGAAGAGGCAGTATAACTTGGACTAAAAAATCCAGGCCTCTTTTTCTCACTAGTGGCTGCAGCCTTGGGCAGTATTTTTTAGCCTTCTGGGAATGCCTCAGTTTTCACATCTGCAAAACAGGGATAGTAATCATTACTGTGAAGTTGATGTTGGTATGACCAGCACAGGTCATCCCTCAGGGAGTGTAAATGAACATTAACTTTTTGTTAATGTTCAAACAAAACCAAAAGAAAGGGTAAACATAATGAGGTGCCAAGGAGGACAATGATGTGCTGTCCAGAGGCTGCCCTTTTGAAGTAAGAAATCCTTTTGGGCTCCTGCTACACCGAATTCCCTAATGGCTCATCTTGCAAATGCTATTGGAGGATGAGTTCCAAGACACAGCAACCCAGCCCTTGTGAGGAAGTGAAGGAAAGAAAGAAAGTCTATGGGTTGGAGAGATAGTAGGGGGTAGGGTGCTTGCCTTGAACACTGCCAGCCCCAATGTAATCCCCACCATCACATATGGTCCCCTAAGCAGCAGTAGGAGTGATCCCTGAACACAGAGTCAGCAGTCAGTCCTAATCACTTCAGGGGCGCCAATCCCAAAAGGAAGTTGATTCCTGAGGGGTTATAGTTATAGAAGAAATCTGAGTGATACTTTAAGATGAGGTAGCCTCTAGCCTGGAAGATCCAGATATCCCAGCCCACATCTGTGATCCAAGGTGTGACATTCCAGGGGTCACATTTCTAGGATGGAAGGCAGAAATGACCAGGAAAAACATAAAATATTATATGTACTACTAGGAAAGAAAATAATGCCAGAAAACCTTGACGTATCTCTAATTTGGGGATCAATAGATTGTATTCTGGTTTCAGAGACACTAAAGTGTGTGTGTGTGTTTGTTTGGGGGTACCATTTTAGAATGAATAAAATGCCCCCTGAAGTGCTGACACTTCCCCAGACTCCCCCTGCTCCTGCCTGAGCCTTGAGCTCTTCTTCCTTTGCTTCCACTGAGGGCTATCCAGATTGCTGGACTCCAAGCAGGTATCATGAGAAGAATGCATTCAGAGAAGCCGTGACCTTTTCACTTCAGGGTATGTTGTACCCCCCCCCCCACACACACACACATACCACCACCACCACCACCACCACCGAATCCCTTCCCTTGGCCTGCTCTTCAAGCCTTCCTGTCCAGTGA